CTATGTGTTCTGAGGATACAATGAAACCAAATTTTCCTTATAGGTTTATAAAAAGAAAAAAGTAAACTGAACAGCTTTTCAGATTCATTATATTCCAATAATAAAATGACTTGTTAGACATTTGTTCTACTTTTTTATAAATGACACATAAAACTAAAATTTGAAAGAAATCAGCTATAGCAAATTGTAGTTTTATTTGGTAAACTGTCAGAACAGAGAGTACAACTCGTCACCACACAAAGAATAAAATGATTGATTATAAAAAGTGAGGAAAGGAGCAGAGCCTGGTCCTATTCAGACAGCCATTGTTCAATGATGAGGTGTACTGGTGAAGGACAGTGGGCCGTACCCAAGAGAGTCTTTCTGTCTTTCCATCTGATCGTGTTGTGCTTTTAGAAGTCCTGGCTCGGCAAATCCAATTGGGGTCTCAGTGGCAATTTGTCTTTCAGTCACAGTTTGTTAACTAATTAGTTTCAAAGATGAAAATTAATCTCAATTAATCCCAYAGGCGTTATCTTGGGTGTTTCGCAATCAGCATAAATCAGCCATGTCCTAAAGTGTTGTTGATGCAACGCTACAAGTTTGGTCGCCTCACCGGTGAACGCTGCAGTAAAATCAAATGCAGGAGAGAAAACAAATACTCCAGTTTATCGAAGATTTGATTTGAAAATTTTGTTTCGGACTGATTATGAGATTGTGATTGCGATAACAGAAGTTAACAGTCTGACTGAACAAAATACCTCATGTTTATGAAGAATCATCTTCAATTTCCCTGGGTTTTTTTTTTTTTTTTTGGTCAAAGTTTAGTTGCGTATCAAGAAGGTCAGTTTAATTAGCTTCAAGGTGATTACCAGAGCTGGGAAAGAGCAGTCTCAACATCAGGTGAATTTCCTCAGGCCTTGTTGGGTCTCGGTAATTATCTGTTTCCTCACACAAAGAAATGACCCAGCCGATGTAACCATGGTGACYATCTCTCCCTGATGGGTCCCCAAGTGCTAATTCTATAGCATTTTCTTTCTGAAGTGAAACTTGCAAAACTACTTACAGTTCTGTGTTTTACAGTATTTGTTTGATGGGAATTTTGATGTTTAGGTGCAAATGCATTTAGTGGAAAACAACACTAAGGCAGGAAACAACTTCATTATCATTGATTCTAGTATATAGGACATTGTGTGTAAAGCCACAATCAGAGTTTGGACAAATACAAATTTATCATCCAGTATAGTTTTAAAAATTTCACCTTTCCCATTTGTAAATACTTTATTGACAATAGAGGCACAATGATGCTGGATAGAGATCGACCGATACAGGTTTTTGAAGGCCGATACCAATACCAATTTTTTTTACATCAGTCTAACCAATCGCCGATACGTGCAGACGATGATTCTTGAAGCCGATACTGCCTTTTCTTTCTCCATTAACATGATAAAAATAATGATAACAAATGTTACACAGGTCTCAATTTAAAACAAAACAAAAAGGTTTATTAACTGAGCCTTGTCTGATGCAGGCTGTATGAAGTGCTGCCACACAGGATTTCTTCTTTCAGCCCTTTCTTTAAAAAAWTTATTAATTAATTAATGATTTATTGTATATAGTGCTAAATATTCAGTTTTTACTTGTATATTAATCAGATTAATATATTTTTTTGCATAAAATAAAATGACTATTTTTAATATCCCAGCATTTTTGATGCAAAAACAGCAACATGCCTAAAGAAAACAGTCAGAGGAACACAGAGAAAAAGGAGAGACACACACATACTGTACATCTTGCTATGCACTCGCATGACCCAAAGAATGGATCGACCAAAAGAACAAACATATCGGCCAAATGGACGAATTTATCGGCTGATACGGATATTAGGAAAAAACGCAAATATCGGCCAAAAATATTGGCCGGTCGATGTATCGGTCGACCCCTAATGCTGGAACAGAGGTGCCCTTTTGTTAAAGGCACAGTGTGTAGGATTTTGTCAATTATTTTAGCCAAAATTGAGATAATCACTAATGACAATAATAAAATACATGTCTAATCATTGCAGACAAAGACCTTGTTTTATTATTTTTACCTTATAAAAAGCTGTTTATCTCTCCATGGTCGCGGGTCGCCACTACAGGCAGCCG